GCATATACCTTTGGATGAATAATAATAGTAATAATAATAATAAAGAAAAATGAAGAAAAAATAAAGAAAAAAAAGAAACAAAATGGGGGAAGAAAGCATAACACTAACTAGTCCAAAGCCAACAAGTCACCACAAACAGCTTTCCAGGCTATAAAGGACAAAAACTTGGCCCAGCCAGGGCTTTTATATAGGAGTGCTTTGTAATTCTATCATAATGGTGCCTTATGAAGCCAGAGCAAGAAATGAACTGGTCAAAGCTATGAATACACCACCATGGTTTTAACACATTTTGGTCTGAAAACAAGGTGATATCTTTTCATAAGTTCACATTTTGTTTCATATCCTTCATAAGAACTTATTGTTTTCTTCATCTAGGTCTTGTGCCTTTCTAGTTATATTTATTTCAAGCCTTTTCTTTTTATTGCTACTATGATTGGATTATTTTTCCTGTTACTGCCCCTGTTTTCTTCATTATCTTGCTAGAATGGAGAAAAGCTGTTGGTTTATGTATGTTTATGTAGCAGCAGAGCACTTAAGAGCACAAACTGAGGTGTGGAGAAGAAATGTAACTTTATTTCTTTGTAACTCAGCTTAACTTTTTATTTTAAACTCCCTCTGTACCTCGTAGAAGAAATTCAGTCCCATCTGGCTTCTCCCAGCTTTTCTCTAAGGTGGATTTAAATTCCATGGAGTTTACATAGTATCAGGAAGCAAAGGACACTGAGTCCCTATCCTCTGTCTCAGATGGCATCCCCTGAGATGCCATGGTTTCACTGGCCCTGTCTCTTGTTGTCTCTGCTGTATTGCAGAAGGGAACCCCTTTCCCTTATGAAATAGTCCTTTCTCTATCCTCACCTCAGGCATGTGGGAAACACTCACTCACCTCCATTTTCCACTTGACAATGGGCAACTCCCTATCACCTCCTCTCAGTCTAGACAAAGATGCAACATCTTCAGGTCTTACTACCTCCCCAGGTGTCTCACTTACTGGGTTATGAGACACAAGTCCCCTCTGCCTTTGGACCCCATAAACCTGTGTGGAGTCCTGTCCTTGGGTGAGGGCACTGCAGCATAGGTCTCCCTTTTCAGACCTACCATTTCTTCTCACTTCTTGTTCTTCCTCATCCTCTTTCAAGTGCAAGTCTGCAGAATCTTTTCTAGTCTCATCATTTAGTATCTCAAGTTGGGCTTCATGCCATGAGTTATTCAAAAACTAAGAGAAGTTTTGTTTTCTCTCCTCCTGCTTCCTCATCCCTCCTGTGAGGCAATAAACTCATAGCAGTCTCGCTTAAGTAGGAGAAGGGCTGCTGGGGAAAACAATTATGAATTATTATCCCAGAAAAAGTGGAAAAGGGTCAGTTCTACAGAGAGAGGGGCAGTGTCTCCACTGAAACTTGGGGAAAGGAAGTGAGGATGAGCGTGGCTGTAGATGTTTCTACCTAAAGATGAGAAATGAAGAAATTTGAAGGGTATCATGCATGATGGGCTCACTTCAGTCAAAATATAGGAAAGCTTGTGAATGACATCATGAGTTTGGACACCTCAGTCTCTGAGAGCACTGGGAAATGGAGAGGGACTTGATTGAGCAGAAGATGTGTGAAGTGATCAATGGGTGAACTGGGCCCACAGACTTTGGAACAGGGACAAAAAAGATGGTCAGGATTCATTTAAGGACTTCTGCCAAGATGGAGGCATAGGTGGAGATGCTGTGCTTTCTCACACAACCAAGTTTAGAGACAACTAAATATTAGCAACAGAAAACATAGTCAGAACACAGAAAATTGAACTTTTCAGAAGTCTGCTAACAACAAATTCTTCAGCCTGACCGGTAAGAGGGGCGAAACCAGCAGCTGGCAGAGTGGGGTAGCACAGGAAAACTCTGTCAGACAGACTCAGGCGTGCAGAATCCAGGCGCAGGGTTGGACCTGGTGAGCAACCCAGCGAGCGACCGTGGGGAGACAGCGAGGGAGCAGGGCTGCTGGTTGACTGTGGTCGCACATTCATGCATGGATAAACAAGTGAAGGAGTGGGCGATTGGACGGGAGCCAGCAGGCCCCAGCGGCCAGCAGCAGCAGAGGGTGCGAATTCCCCGCTCTGACCACGCCCGCACATACAGCCTCACAACCCAGCCACCTGGGAGTCCAAGGCTCCCCTCCTCATACTTAATGGGTGCGAACAGACCAAAAATGGCTCAAGAAGATGTCAAAGCCCCAGAGCCTATAAATCTAAGCGATGAAGAAATAGCAAAACTCTCAGACGCACAGTTTAAAACATTGGTGATCAGGATCCTCACAGAACTGGTTGATTATAGCCACAAATTAGAGAAACATATGAAGGCAAAACTAATTCAAATGAATGGAATTGCACAGGAAACCAATAGCGATGAAAAGGAAACTGGGACTCAAATCAATGGAGTGGACCAGAAGAAAGCAAATAATGGCCAAACAGAAAAGAGTCAAGAAGCAAGAATTCAAAAAAATGAGGAGAGTCTTAGGAACTTCCAGGACATCTTTAAACGCTCCAACATCCGAATTATAGGGGTACCAGAAGGGGAAGAAGAAGAGCCAGGAGTGGAAAACTTATTTGAACAAATAATAAAGGAGAATTTCCCCAATCTGGCAAAGGAAATAGACTTCCAGGAAATCCAGGAAGCTCAGAGAGTCCCAAAGAAGTTGGACCCAAGAAGAAACACACCAAGGCACATCATCATTACATTAGCCAAGATTAAAATGAAGGAGAGAATCCTAGAAGCGGCAAGAGCTAAGGGGACAGTCACCTACAAAGGAGTCCCCATCAGACTGTCAGCGGATTTCTCAAAAGAGACCTTACAGGCAAGAAGGGGCTGGAAAGAAGTATTCCAAGTCATGAAGTCCAAAGACCTACAACCAAGATTGCTCTATCCAGCAAAACTTTCATTTAGAATGGAAGGACAGATAAAGTGCTTCTCAGATAAGCTCAAATTCAAGGAGTTCATCATCAGCAAGCCCTTATTATATGAAATGTTAAAGGGACTTATCTAAGAAAAAGAAGATAAAAAAGATGAACAGTGAAAGGACAACAAACTCACAGTTATTAACAACCACACCTAAAACAAAAGCAAACTAAAAGGACAGCTAGATCAGGAGTAGAAACATAGAAATGAAGATCTCAAGGAGGGTTAGCAACAGGGGAGTGGGAGGAGGAGAAGGGGGGAGAAGGTACAGAAAATAAGTAGCATAGACAGTAGATACAAAATAGATGGGGGGCAGGAATAGTATGGGAAATATAGAATCTAAAGAACTTGAGACGCATGGTCATAAACTAAAGGGGGGTAATGGTGGGGATGGGGGGTAGGGTGGAGGGGAATGAAGGGGGGAATAGAACAACTGTAATGGCATAATCAATAAAAATAAATAAATTTTAAAAAATTTTAAAAAAAGATGGTCAGTACCATCTTTCCAGAATAGGATCTTGTTGGGTTGGAGAGGCAAAGAAAGCAAGGAAATTGAGATTACCAGTGATAGCAGACACTGATGCCAACTGCCTTGTCCCATTTATGGAGACAGGCTGCCCACTCCCAATTGCTGAGTGTGGTTACTAAGGGCTCAAAGCTACCCTGTTTTGCAAAAATTTGCCTTCAGCCAATGGAAGCTGCTTTGCCTGGGAGGTCATACCCAGACCCCTGGAAGAAACCAGCAATCCATGGCCAAAAGACCAGGGAGCACAAAGGGCTGTAGGATCTCCCTGCAGGATCAGGTTAATGTTAGACACCAGCTGAGAACCCATCCTTGCCTGGTGTCTTCCTCTGATCTACCCTATTTCCTTCAAAATCCCTGCCTGGGCTCTGCTCCTAGGAAGCCCATGTTAAGATGATGATATAGTTCAGGTGGTCATTTGGGAGGTAGGGACTGGATAAGGACCAAGAAGGGGCTGAAAGGCTGGGTGAGAAACAGAGGGACTAATCATTTAGGTCAGGGAACAGGTATAGGGAGAATGAAGGAGTGGAACAGCTGCAAGGATGGGAAGATGGACATTGTTGTTGGGAAAGGGACATTGAAGGTACAATCATTCAGAGTACGATGAGGTCCAGGGCATAGCCATGCACAATTGTGGGTGGTGTGGAGGATTAGAGAGGTGTAGTCACCAATCAAAGAAGCTAGGCTGTCCATGGGGTGTCCACTGGGTATCCGCTGAAGACACCAATGACGTTGGCAAGAGTTCAGGTGGAGATGAAGGCTATTAGCCAGCTAGCAAGTGCTGGGTGACTGTGGGGTGTGATGAGGAGGACCCAGGGTGACAAAGAGGAGGGGGAAGAAGGTGGTAGAGCCAGGCTTCATGATCCTCAAATCATTAAGAATTTTACACAACATGAAGGAGAAATTCATGAGACAAACTTGAGAGCTGATTGGACCCCTCCACTCCATCCCTGCACCACGTCCTCGAGGTCTGCCTGCAGCAGGGACTGCCACTGCCACAGCCGGGCGTCCCTGGCTGCTGTGTTGTCCAACACCTGTCACACAGGAACCTGGACATTCTGCACATGCAGGGACCTTATCTCTCTCATTCACCAGGCTGACATGATAAATAAATATGTACTGAATGAATAATTGAGTCAATCGATTACTCCACATTTCATTATCTCTCAGCAGAGGCCACTCTCATAGTAACAGAGCACAGTCTTGAGGTCAGACACACGAACCTGACTTATAGGTCTGAGCCTGGTTTGCACACGAGTAACACTGAGAAGATCAGATGAGTTAACGTGAGGCACATGGCACTTGGTACAGTACTTGGCAGGTGGTAAATTCCCCAGAAAAGCCCAGAGCTGTCCCTTGTGGAGTAGAGTGACTGGGGGATGCCCGTGTGGTCTGATGGGAAGGGCGGGCAAAAGAGGGTGCGCCCCCGCCTCCGCGCACCCAACTGGCCCAGCCCAGGGCGGAGTCTCCTCCAGGTTGATCCGGGCCTTGCTGGCGCCTGGAGGCACCAAGGTACCCCGTCCAGCCCTGCTGCTGCCCTGGGCTATGGCGAGCACGGCCCCAGACAGGTGGACGCTGCTCAGTCTCCGGCTCTGGCTCCTAATGGCGGCGCTACTGGGGACTCTCGCGCCGCAGGTGAGAAACGGGGCAGACATCCAGCCTCCCAGGTGAGGTCCGCGGGCGCAGAGGGCTGGGCGTGGCGGAGCCGCAGGGGTATCTGGCTCTCCCTCGATGTAGTGTGGCACCCAGTCGGCCTTTGGCGAGTGAAATCTTAGCTTTGGGGAGATGCCTGTTGCCCCTACAAATACCTAGCCAGAGAGACGTACCAGAGTGGAACGGCGCAGGTGACCCAACACCCCGCCACTCTTTCAGCTCCGGGTGCAAATAGAGAGAATAGCCTGGGGCACGGGTTAGGGGTAAGGTGGGGGCTGGCTTTACCTTGGGGCCTTCTGCATCTTCTGTAATCCGGGATGCCTTGGCAAATATGGTCGACTTAAAGGTCCTCTGAAAAGTGCACCTACACGCCATTTTACAAATACAGGTGTGTCACGACGTGCCGCCTTCACCCATGACTGGACCTCAGGTTGAGAACTACTGGGATAAATAAAATGGAGTGGGTATGGGCATCTGGGCCCAGCCTGTTCAGAGCCGGAAAGTCCAACGTTTCAGAAATGCAAGGAGAAGGCAAAAGAGGCCCAGCCAGGAATCCAGTGCACGGGGGTGGAGTCTCCAACGATGCTGGGTCTCCAGCCCCCAGGACAGCCAACCCGAGCACAACAGAGTTGGGCACTGCCAGGTTCAGCTCCCAGCTCTGAGTCCACCCCACTGTTGCCAAGCAGGAATGTGAGCCCCGTGTAGTGAGATGTGGTGTTTGCGGGAGAGAAAAAAAAAGAAAGAAATTTAGATTTCAAGTAAAATCCTTCCAGTATTTTAATTGGCAGTTAATTAAAACCAAACTTTAAACATGATTATGGTCAAACAAAACTCCACTATGGGCCACCAGTTTGCAGCTTCTCTGGACCACGCTCCCTCCTGCCATGTTTCGGATCAGCAGACAGGTGGGGAACCAGAGAGGCTTCGAGGGAGTTCCCTCACTCCCCGCCCCCCCCCCAGTGGCAAGGGCCCTGGAGCAGGATGTGGCCTTTGCAGGGGTGCGGCTGGGCCACCCGGATGTTAGGGTTCCTGCTGGGAGCTCAGCCTCACACTGTTTGCTCAAGGAGGGGCTGGAGCAGGTGGTTAGCCCAGCAGGGGACAGATGGAAGCCTGCCCTCCCTCAGCCTGATCTCCCAAAGCAGCTGGGTTCATTTAGGGAGGTGAAGCGGCTGCCCTTAGGAGAGGCAGATGGTGCAATCTCAGAGCTGGTGGTTCAAGTCCCAGTTCTGCCACTTGTTACCTATGTGGCTAATTGTCTTACCTCCCTGAGTCCGTCTTCCTCACCTGCACAAAGATAACAATAACAGTATACATCCCCTAGTAAGGGCCAGTGTCAGTGACTTTTTTTTTTTGTAAAGGCCTTCAGTCTTCTTTGGGAAACCAGAAGGAATTGGGTGGGGCAAAGTGTGGGACTCCAACACAGTGGGAGCCAGGAGGCCTTGACCCCCACTGTGATTCCTCTCTAGAGTCTAGGGGATCAATGGGTGTGGCTGAGAGCTTCTCCAATCAGCCTTCTTTCTTTCTCTGTCTCCTGAGGGCTTGGGAGTCACAGCCAGCCCTTCCTGGGTCGAGAGCAAGGGGTGGTCCAAGGCCTCTCAGAGAAGGTGGCTGTTTCCCACTGCAGGTCCAGACCGTCAGTCCAGAGAGCCTCCTGCTCGTGTCCACCCTGGATGGGAGTCTCCACGCACTAAGCAAGCAGACAGGGGACTTGAAGTGGACGCTGAAGGATGGTGAGCAAGGGGCAGTCACTCCTTTCTTTTTGGACCCCAAGTTAGAGTAGTGTCACTATGACACAGAGAATAAGAACATGGGATCTAGAATCCACAAGCCACTATCTGTAGGCAGCTTCACCACTTACCAGCTGTGTGGCCTTGTGAAAGCCACTCTACCTCTCTGAACATCAGTGTCCTCTCCTATAAAATGAAGCCGAGAGTAATGCCTCCCCCCCTCACAGAGTTCTCAGGAAGATTATAATACACATATGTCAGATGCTTGTGTTGGTGTCTGACACACAGTAAGCATCCAGTGAAAAGGAGCTATGCTTCTCTATGGGGAGTGCAAAGGGGGCGACTCATGCTCCTTTTTCCTGTCTCTGCAGATCCCATCATCCAAAGGCCAATGTACATCACAGAGTAAGTGACCTGTGGCCTTTTAAGGAGAGACATCTGGGAGATGGGGGAGCCAGAGTGTCTGGAGGAAGTTTGGATGGGGTGGGGGTGCATGATGGGCATTAGGGAGGGGAGCTGGGCCTGGAGCTCTGTGTGTCTCCTGCAAGGGTGGGCTCCGACTAACTAGGAAGTGGGAGGGAAAGGGCACCTTCATGAAACCAGGGGACATGCATCCAAACCTCCCCCACCCCCATTCCTCTCTGCTCTACAGAATGGCCTTTCTCTCAGATCCAGCTGATGGCAGCCTGTACATCTTGGGGACCCAGAAACAACAGGGATTAATGGTGTGTGTACTTCAGTGCTTGGGAATGAGAGGGGCTGGGGCTTCTGTTAGGCAGAGCACTGATGGAACAGAGGGAGCAGCATGTTCAGAATCTGAGTGTCTTGCAGAAGGTAAGTCAGGACTCTGGGTGCATTATTGGAAACCTGTCTAAAGGGACCTGTTGAAAGGGGCTTGTGGGGGTGGCTGTGGCTGTGTTTGCAAAGCAGGCCATCAAGGAGGCTTTTCCAGGACTCTGAGTGTTTTAAGGAGAAACATATGTATTAGTTAGCATTTACTAAATAATGAATGGTCCCAAACTCAATTTACTTAACTCACAACTTTGTGGGATGACAAGTTAGATGGGGCAGTCTTGATTGAGCTGCTTAAGCATTTTGGTCAGCTGCTGGTCAGCTGGATGGCTCCTTTTTTGAAAGGTGCTGGTGGTTGGCTGGCTTTTGACAGGGGTGGACAGAAGCCATAGGCCTCTCATCCTCCAGCAGGCAAGCCCGGTCTTGTTTACATGGTACCAACAAGGGAACTAAAAGCAGCCAGGGAGGGCAAGGCTAATGCACAAGAACTTTGCTATTACCACAGTAGCTAAGGTCTCATCAGAAATTCCACATGGCCAAGCACAGAGGAACAGGAGGAACTTGGGCCATTTCTTCCATCTTCCACATCAGGATTGTGATGGGGGCTATTTAACATGACTTATGGGGAAATAGGGTAGAATATGCTTTGTCGAATTCTGACTGTGCCAGGAAGCCTGCCTACCAGAAAGGTCTTAAGTGTGAGAGTTAGAAGCTGAATTGGTAAGATGGTATTTGTGAGTCAGGCAAGGTCCCAGTGGCAAACAGCTGGCACACTCAGTAGGATAGCTTGAGGAGATCTTGTTGAAAGGATTGCTTACAAAGGTGTGGGCAGAGTGAAGTTTCCTGTGGCTCATAACAGTGTGGGGGGCCACTATTGGCCGAAGCTCAGAGGGACGGGACGGAGCAGTGACCACAACCTGGAGCCAGAGGGAGAGTGAGAAGAGGGCCACCCATCAGGAGCTGAGGCCTTTGGGGCAGGAGGGGGGCAGGGCAGGGAGGGCGGTGACACATCCAGGCCATGATGACTTTGTGGAGAGGAGACAGGGATGCATGCCTGATCTCACACTAAAAGCCAGAGCATGTGGCTTCCACTGATGTCATTCAAACAAGTGTGTTTTGGGGGTGGGGTTGGAGGGAGCAGGGTGGAGAGGGATGGGGAGTGAATCTCCAGTCACATCAGGGAGAGCCATCCGTAATCATACCATTGCTCCCCACTTCCCTGCATCTAGGATAAAGTTCAGGAGCCCTGACAAAGTACATTACATCCTCTATGATCTGGGCCCTCTCACTTCACCAGCCCCCTCTCTCACCTACATGCGTGCACACGAACACCATCCAAGTATGCCAGCTCCGGGGCTTCACCCAAATTGTCCGCGATGTCAGGAACACTCCTCCTCTATTTCTGGCTGCCAGTGGGACGGCAGGGGGTGAGGGAGCAGGGGGCTCTGTACATTGTGCCCTCCTGGAGACTCAAGCTTCTGGAGGCTCCATCTCAGCCTGAGCTTCTCAAACACCAAAGCAGAAGAGGCAAATGTGACCCACACACAGATTCTCAGTGTCCTCATGGCAGTGACATGTGTCTTCTCTCCTCCCCTCCTGCTGGCTAAAGCAGGCCTCAAAGCCACACCTACTTGAAGCAGAGAAGGAAGTGCTACCCCACCAGAAGCCAGAAGAGCCACAATATTTGTGAGAAGTGTGCCCCTTCCCCCCCCCCTTTTCTTATTCATCCCTCCAGTCCCAATACAAAATCCAAACTCCTTCCCAACTAGTGATGTTGCCTCCAACTACCCTCACTTCCGATCACTCCTCCCCACTCTGATCCCTGGAGGCACAACAGCCTCACCCTTGCGGAGTGATGAGCTCTCCCTGCCTCTGCACTGGCTATCCCCCTGCCCAGGGCACTGCTCCTCCATGTGTCCTTGTGACTCACTCCCTCACCTCCCAAGCCAGCCACCTTATGAAAACTGGTATCTCAGATCACTTTTTAGCCTGGTTCTCTGGGGTTTTTTTATGGTATATGCATTTTTTTTGTTTGTTTATTCTCTCTCTCCCACACACACCAGAGATGTAACTGCAGAAAGGAACCTCATTGGTCTTGGTTACTACTAGGTCCTGGCATTAAATGGTTGATGAATGAAGGAATGAATGAACTTCCTTCAGCAGCTTTTCAGTTCTCCAACATCTATAATAGGTGCCCCTCAGTTTCTTTCAGGAACACTAACCACACCATAACAATTACAGGTGGTAATGACCTCCTTTATTGTTGGTCCTGTGCCCCCAGGAAACCCCAGCTCTCCTTCCCTCAGTGCTCCATGTGCCTGGGGTGCTGCCTGGCAACAGCTTTGTATGTGGAGTTTGGAGATTTTTCTATATGTGTAACTTTTCATTTTTACATAATTTCAAATATAAGAAAAAATGGAAGAATAATACAAAAATTTTTTTATTCCTTTTACCCAAGTTCATCATTTTTAACATCTTACCACATCTGCTTTTGCTCTCTCTAGGTAGATGATAAACAGATAAATAGAATGTCAAGAATATTAGATATGTATGTAAAAAATTTCTTTTTCTGCCCTGGCTGGTGTGGCTGAGTAGATTGAGAGCTGGCCTGCACCTGTGAACTGAAAGGTCACAGGTTCAATTCCCAGTCAGGGCAAATGCCTGGGTTGAAGGCCAGTTTCCAACTGGGGGCGCACTAGAGGCAACAGATCGATGTATCTCTCAAACATCAGTGTTTCTCTCCCTCTCTTTCTCCATCTCTTCTCCTCTCTCTAAAAATAAATAAAGTCTTTAAAAATTTTTCTTTTTCTGAACCATGCATTCAAGAGTGAGTTACAGACATTATACTCTTTACTCCAAAAGTGGCACTATGTATTTCTAAGCACAAGGACTTTTTCCTACATAGCCTGGGTATAAATGAATAAAATAAGGAAACTTAACATTGATGCAATAGCATTATGTAATTCACAGCCCATGTTAATTTCGTTTGGTGTTCCAATGGAGTCCTTTATTGTTTCCTAGTCCAGAATTTGAATCAGACTCACCGTAGCATTTGGTTGTCATGTGTCTTGGGATCCTTAAAACTGGAATAGTTCCCCAGCTTCTCTAAGCCTTTCTGGAAAATGGAAACAATAATTGTGCTTCATAAATAGGTTGTATGAGTTTTTCTGCTTTTACTCCTTTCTGGAACTTTTCTCTCTCCTCAGAAACTGCCATTCACCATCCCCGAGCTGGTTCATACCTCCCCATGCCGCAGCTCAGATGGTGTCTTCTACACAGGTAAACATCTCTCCATCCTGTGGTCCAGGTCCAGGAAGCAGGGACACGGCTAAAACCATGGAAGGCCAGCCTGGCACAAAATGGACAGGCTGCACACCTTCTCCCAAGCTGTCTTGAGGCCTGACACACATTCCACCTCCACAGGCCGAAAGCAGGATGCCTGGTTCGTGGTGGACCCTGAGTCAGGGGAGACACAGGTGACACTAACCACAGAGGCCCTTTCTACTCCCCGCCTCTACATCGGCCGCACGCGTGAGTTGGGCCCCGGTTCTGGGTGGCCCCCTCTTTTGCTGTGCCCAGGCCCAGCAATTGTTCTTCAAGATGAATTGGGCCAGTCTGTCAATTTGTCAGCCAACAAACATTTCATTGAGCACTGAACAAAGACCAGAGGATAGAGCAGTAGCCAGAATAGGCCTGGTTTCTGCCCTTGTGATACACTCACAGACTCTACCCCAGGCTGGGTGCTCAGAACCCCACCTCCATAAAATGACACCCTCTGAGTTGGGGGATGGGAGGAGTGTCATGCAGGCCTGTGTGGTAACCTTGCCTCTGGGCATCCTTAGAGTACACGGTCACCATGCATGACCCCCGGGCCCCTGACCTTCACTGGAATACCACCTACCGTTGCTACTCGGCACCCCCCATGGACATCTCCCCTGGAAAATGTGAGTGCCACCTTTCTCTGGCCCCATCTTGGAGCAACATCCTCAATTCAGGGAACCCTATGTGGTATCCATGACCAAGCCCCACTACATTCTGACCTATTTGACCTCCTCTGGGTTCCCACATGAATAATACACCTTTGATGGATGACCCTAAATGACTCTCCTCAAATGACCCCCCTCAATACTCAGCATGACCCTCCTATACCCTGAGCAGCCCTAACATCCTCACTCCTTCACACTCCAAGTGAGCCCAGCCAGGTCACCCTGGGTGACTCCTTATATCCTGGGTGTCCCCAGGCAATCCACACACATCCGGACATTCCCCTTATGTCCTAACTGAGCCCTAATGTTGAGTGACCCTTGACAGATAATCCTAAGTGACCTTTCCCCAGACGACACTGACCACGTTCTGGATATCATGACTATTCTAGCAGACTTCCTGAGTGACCTCACAGGGGTCCCTAGGCAACCCCTGGTACATTGACTCTGTCACTTCACAGGACACATCACAAGCAACAGTCTCAGGGCCTCTGACTGACCTCTTTCTTTTTTTTTTTTTTTTATTTTATTTTGAATTGTTTATGCTGTTACAGTTGTTCTATTCCCCCCTTCATTCCCCTCCACCCTGCCCCCCCGACCCCCCCGATTACCCCCCCTTTAGCTTATGTCCATGTGTCTCAAGTCCTTTAGGTTCTGTATTTCCCATACTATTCTTCCCCCCCCATCTATTTTCTATCTACTGTCTATGCTACTTGTTTTCTGTACCTTCTCCCCGTCTTCACTCCCACTCCCCTGTTGCTAACCCTACTTGAGCTCTTTCATTTCTATGTTTCCACTCCTGATCTAGCTGTCCTTTTAGTTTGCTTTCGTTTTAGGTGTGGTTGTTGATAACTGTGAGCTTGTTGTCCTTTCACTGTTCATGTTTCTTTAACTTCTTTTTCTTAGATAAGTCCCTTTAACATTTCATATAATAAGGGCTTGGTGATGATGAACTCCTTGAATTTGGTCTTATCTGAGAAGCACCTTATCTGACCTTCCGTTCTAAATGAAAGTTTTGCTGGGTAGAGCAATCTTGGTTGTAGGTCTTTAGTTTTCATGACTTGGAATATTTCTTTCCCTTCCAGCCCCTTCTTGCCTGTAAGGTCTCTTTTGAGAAATCTGCTGATAGCCTGATGGGGACTCCTTTGTAGGTGATTGTCCCCCTTAGCTCTTTGCTGCTTCCAGGATTCTCTCCTTCGTTTTAATTTTGGCTAATGTAATTATGATATGCCTTGGTGTGTTCCTTCTTGAGTCCAACTTTTTTGGTACTCTCTGGGCTTCTTGGATTTCTTGGAAGTCTGTTCCCTTTGCCAGATTGGGGAAATTTTCTTTTATTATTTGTTCAAATAATTTTTCCACTGGTGGTTGTGTCTTTCCCCCTTCTGGTACCCCCTATAATTCGGATATTGGAGCGTTTATAGATGTCCTGGAAGTTCCTAAGCTTCTCCTCATTTTTCTGAATTCTTATTTCTTCATTCCTTTCTGATTGATCATTTTTTTTCTTCCTTCTGGTTTACTCCATTGAGTTGAGTCCCAGTTTTTTTTTCATCTCTATGGGTTTCCTGTGGAATTCCATTCATTTCCCTTAATTTAGCCTTCATATGTTTCTCTAATTTGTGGCTATAGTCCACCAGATCTGTGAGGAAGCTGACGACCAGTGTTTTAAACTGTGCGTCTGAGAGATTTGCTATTTCTTCGTCACTTAGATTTATCTCCGGGACTTTGAGGTCCCCCTGCGACATTTTTGGTCTGTTCTGGCCCTTTAAGTAGAGAAGCGGCGCCTTGGAGTCCCAGGTCGCTTGGTTGTGACGCTGTATGGGGGGCGTGGTCAGAGCGGGGGGGGGGAAGGCGCCGCCGCCGGTCCCCCCTCACTCCCCTCACCCGCGCGTGTAACCGGGCACCCACAGTCAACTCGCTGCCACTGCCTCCCCACTGACTCCTCCGTAGTCACTCACCCGGTGGGCTGCTCACTAGGTCCAATCCTGGGTTTGGAACCCGTGCGTCTGGATTCGCGCGTTTGGGTTCCGCGCCCGCGCCCGGGTCGAACAAGTTCTCCTTTGTAACTCCCTCAACCCGCCGCCGCCGTTTTGCCTCTCCGGCTGGGCCGGAGAATTTGCTGTTTGCGGACTTCCGAAAAGTCGCGCGTCTGGGTCCCGCGCCCGCGCCCGGGTCGAACGAGTTCTCCTTTGTAACTCCTCCACCCGCCGGCCGCCGGTTTGCCTCTTACCGGCCGGGCCGGAGAATTTGCTGCTTGCGGCTTCCGAAAAGTCGCGCGTCTGGGTCCCGCGCCCGCGCCCGGGTCGAACGAGTTCTCCTTTGTAACTCCTCAACCCGCCGCCGCCGCCGGTTTGCCTCTTACCGGCCGGGCCGGAGAATTTGTTGTTTGCGGACTTCCGAAAAGTTCAGTTTTCCGTGTTCTGGTTGTGTTTTCTGATGCTAATATTTAGTTGTCCTTAAACTTGGTTGTGAGAGGAGGCAGGCACATCCACCTTAATCCTCCATCTTGGCGAAGTCGTGACCTCTTTCACATGCTAAATGATACCCAAGTGACCCACAGGCCTACAGGCCATCCTGATTGCCCATCATAAGTCATCAGTCTGAGCCTAAGTGACTGCCTGCTCCACATCCTAACTGGTCTCTCTCAAGTAACATGTGACTCACCTTCAGATGACCCTGATTGACCCCTACATTCTACAGAGCTCCCAGTTGACTCTGACGGGTCTAAGCCCCAGAGAACTTTGACTGACCTTCCCATGTCCTTCAACCCTCCAGGTGATCTCACCTGAACTGCACACACTGGAGTAGCCCTCCTGATGACCCACTCTCAGAGCAGTTCCCCCACCCCAAGATAAGGTACCTAACATCAGAGCTCCCTGATCACATCTCCCCAGCCATCTTTCTTGGCAGACATGAGCCACCTGGCATCCTGTGGGATGGGCCTGCTGCTAACTGTGGACCCAGAAAGTGGGGTGGTGTTGTGGACACAGGACCTGGGTGTACCTGTGATGGGCATCTACACCTGGCACCAGGATGGCCTGCGCCAGCTACCCCATCTCACACTGGCTCGAGACACCCTGCACTTCCTTGTCCTCCGTTGGGGCCACATCCGACTACCTGCTGCAGGTTCCCAGAACACAGCCACCCACTTCTCTGTCTCGGACATCCAACTGCTGTAGGTACCTATGCCTGGGGACTGGGGAGGACCCCTGGAAGTGTTGTAGCCCATGCCCAATTGGCAATGGGATGTCTGAGCCTGACATAACAGTAGAGTTGAGCCAGGGGTAAAAATATCTCAAAATATCAACCAAACTTGTTGATAAATAACCAGTGCCCTGCACCACTCCTTGTGTGCTCCAGGACCTCCTAGGTAACTCCACTGACAGGGTAAAATGTGCCTTGGAGGTTGTCTCCAGGTCTCCACTCCAGTGCTACAGCTGGCACCTGTTTTGCTTGGTAGGTGCTGTGCCTTCTTGATTGTTAAAGACTGTCACCCTGCCTTATAGCACTAAAAACCTTTGAGTCCCCATCTTGGGGAGCCAAGTGATAGACTGGGAAAGTCAGGGATTTGGCACTCATTCAATTTGTTCTGCAAATATTAATTGTATCACTCTGTATCAGCTATTTGTTAAGCTCTGGGAGTACAGTAATACAGCCAGCATTCCTACCCATGGAAATCTCAGTGTCTAGTAGAGGAGATAGGTGTGTAAAGAGGCCATTATGATATTATAAAGGATACCAGAAAAACAGGTTTGCCAGGGGAATGTATAGGAAAAGTACCTAAGTTGAGACTGGTGGCAGGAGGCAGTCAAGGAATGCTTCCTGGAGGAAGGGACATCCAAGTTAAAACCTAAGGGATAAATAAGAAATGAAAGAAAGAGAGAGAGCACTTCAAAACAACAAACACTTATTATCTTTCAAGATTCCGAGGGTCAGCTGGGTGGTTTTCTGGTCTGGAAGGCCTTAGTTAATATGTGTAAGTCGGCTGGTGGCTTGGCTGAGCCTGCATGATCTAGGGTGGGCTCACTCACATGTCTCATAGTTGGTGAACAATTTAGCTTAGAAAGTGTCAGATAATGTCTTTCATGCCCCAGCAGGCTGGCCTGGTTTTCTCCCCATGGTGGTCTTGGTTCCAAAGAACAATATGAGAGGACAAGTCTCTTCTCAAGCCTCTCCTTGTGTCATACTTACTATTGTCTCATTGTCCAAAGCAAGTCAGATGGCCAAGACCAGAAGTGATGTGGGAGGGGACGACACATGAGGAGTGCAGTAGTAACCGAAACCACCCACCACCATTACTCATCTCTCTCCCCTTACCTTCCCCCCACTAGGATGACGCTGTATATAGGGAAGGATGAAGCTGGCTTCTATGTTTCCAAAGCACTGGTTCACACAGGGGTGGCCCTAGTGGTGAGAGGGGCGTCTCTGAGTGGGCAGAAAGAGGGGATGGAGCAGGAGCACCCCCCTCACTCATGACTCCATCTTCTGCTACAGCCTCGTGGACTGACTCTGGCCTCCAGGGATGGCCCCACCACAGATGAGGTGACACTCCAAATCTCAGGAGAGCGAGAGGGCTCACCTAGCACAGCTGTCAGATACCCCTCAGGCAGTGTGGCCCTCCCTATCCAGTGGTTGCTTATTGGTGAGATTCCCTAGCTCAAATTTGGCATAGATGAAGATGAAAGACCTGTGATCCTGGCTTCTGAGCTGGAAGGCTGAAGTCACCTTCAGTACACTGACTTTTTCACTGTCCCTTAGGACACCATGAGCCACCCCCAGTCCTGCACACCACCATGCTGAGAGTCCATCCCACCCCAGGGAGTGGAACTACTGAAACCAAACCCTCCAAGAGCATACAGTCTCCGGCCCTCTTGTTGGAGGTCAGTGCTGAAAGGTCAGAGAGCTTAGAGGAGACTAGGCCAGAGGTTGGGCAGCCACTAGACATTTTCCTTGCGCTTCTAGCAATAATATTTGAGGTGGGTTGATTGGCCCCACACAATTTCCCAGAATAAAAGCACTTGTTAGAAGGGTCAAAAGTTATTGGCCATCTAAATTGTGAAACATGGGTCACGGTTTTCTTTACTCTTTTTCAGTGTCAGAGTTACATAGAGTCTATCAATTGAGAAATCAAAACAGAAAAACTACAAAAGTTTTTCCCCTTGAAAAGGGTTGGACAAGAATCAGTAGTAGTTCAAGGTTAGAAGGAATAGACACACCTTGGAGCAATAATTCTCAAATCTGGCTGCTTACTAGAATCACCTGGATGCCCACCCCCACCCCCACTGAATTAAAAACTTCTGGAGGTGGATATCTTCATTTTTGGTAATCCCCCCCCCAAGTATTTGTATTTTTTTAGTGACACCCCAGGAGATGCTGGTCATCAGGTAGGTTTGGAAGCCCAGTCTCCTGCAGCACCACGATACTTCAGCACCACGGAGAGAGCCCTGTCCCCCACCACAAGGACGGTTCACTCACTGCCCCTTGTGCTAAACCCGGCCCTGTACTGGTTGATGAAGGGTTAGGGGTTCTCAGTGAGAGGGGTTGTAAAGAGTGAAAGCCCCTTTGTCCCCAGCTCCTGAGCCTGAGTCAGGAGGAACCTTGGGACCTGGAGCTGCACCCTGAAGAGAAAACTTCACACTCGGATCCAGGACCAGGACCCCAAGACCTGCTGGCAGCCAGCCTCACTGCGGTCCTCCTAGGAGGGTGTATTCTCTTCTTGATGAGGCAGGTAAGCCCACCACCTCAACCTCAGGTCTGTCTCAGGGTATCCTAGGGACAACTCTGCCCCTCCTCTTCAAGAACACTCAGCAACTGTCTCACCCAGCTCTGATTCTGCCCCCTGCCTTCTGCCCAGCAGCTCCCCAAGCCCCTGTTACTGTACTTTGTATGTTCATGGTCTAGTGCAGACTGTCTCAGACACAGCTGCTGGGCCCACCAAAGGGCAGAGCCTGCCCAGGGCTCAACTCCTGCAGGCCCTTGTGTTCCAGCAGCAGCAGCAGGCTCCCCTGGCACCTGCAGGACCTCCTGCCATCTCACAGGATGCTCTTTCCCAGCTCTCGGGGACCACCCCACAGGACCAGAAGAGGCTGCAAAGCCCCTCTGAGAAAACCCAGCCACCTGAAGACCCTGAAGGTGAGCTTAAGTAAACAGAAAAGGGCATTGTCAGGGACAGAGAAAAGAGCTGGTTTAGCTTTAAAGGCAGTTTATTAGAAGCCACTAGTGGGGTAGCTAAGCCTAAATGAATTAATAAGAGGGTATTTCGAATAGTGCCTGCGATGTAGTTAAGCACTCTAGACATGTCTGCCATCTTTTTTAATCATTGTCATTATTTTCAAAGACTGTACATGTAGATAGAATTGAGTGTAAATCTAACACCTCTATCTGTTAACTTTCACGAATTGCCTAACTCCTCTGAGCCTTGGTATTTTTATCTATCACATGGAAGTAATAACACCCACCTCATTACATCACATCACTGGGAGAGGTCACCACCACCATCATTTATTAATCATACTGAGGTGATGGAATGTGTGCTAAAATAATATCATATTTGGTAACACTAATAATAAATTATCTAGGAACCATTTGGTACCTTCCTCTCTTTAGGGCTTTTAATTTTTTTAATATTCTTCTTTTTTTCTCAATTTACTTTTGTGGGATACCCCTCAGGGCCTTCCTCATGCTTTCATTAGTCTGCTTCTTCTACTAATCGAAGCTTTTTATTCTGCTTTTTTGGCTCTGGGCTGGGTTGTCCTTCAGTCCTTTGCATAAGCTGCTGCTGCCACCTCCTGGTCACTGCTCAAACCACAACCTCGTGCCTTAAAGCCTTAACTAAGGTTGAAGTTCACCCCATATGTAGCTCGGGGATCTAGTGCTTTTCCCAACTTTCACCTTTGGGTTCACCTTTCCTCTAAGGAAAGGGAACAAATCCCCTTCCTCAGGGGTCAGTTCTCCTCGAAAGTTCCCACCACAGAGTCCTCTCCACCGAGCCTTGAGTGTTGCAGTTCCTGTCACTTTACTGGCTCTGGGTAGGTTTCACTGCACCCTGAAACCCTCATCTCCTTGGACCTGCTGACTCAAGCAGAGTCTTTCCCAGACAACCCAGGTGATTCTCATCAAATGGCCCTGCAGTTCCTCCTTGCCATCTTCCTTCTCTCACAACTGTCACTCACCCCACAGCCCATAAGACCCCAGTCATTGAAAAGATGTTAGTTCCTTCCACAGATGTCTCCTCAGTTACCTTATGAGTCAGTATTACTAATAATCCTTGGAGGAGGAGAAAAGAGGATGTTGAAATCCAGCTCTGGCTTAGCCAGGACACCTTGTTATCAAGGTGCTTATTTTTGCTTACTCACCAGAAAAAAATTAAGTGATATTGGTGCTTCAGGACAAGAACCCAAGAAAATAAAACACCCAGATGCAGCCTGGTGCCTCCATTATGACTCTGTGGTACCAGTCTCTAGATAATACTGGATTTCCTATGTTATTATTTTTTTAATATTTTATTTATTTATTTTTAAAGAGAGCAGAAAGGAGGGAGAAAGACAGGGAGAGACTGAGAAACATTGATTGCCTCTCACACGCCCCCAACTGGGGACCTAGCCTACAACCCAGGCCAGGAATCAAATCAGCAACTTTTCAATTTGCAAGCCAACGCTCAATCCACTGAGCCACACCAGCCAGGGCCTCTGTTAATATATATTTTTTAACTTATTCTTTCACTTCCTTTGTTTAAGTGCTGATAAACTCTTAACTTTGGTGTTTTCATGACCTCTAGGCAAAGCCCAGAGAGGACAGGCAGTTGTTGGGTGGCATGAGAGAGGCCGTGAGAGTGAGGTCACACAGGGAGCTGTGTGAACACAGAGGAAGGCACATAGCTCAGACGTGGGGAAATAGTAAACGTCCTTGAAGCAATGGCTAAGCGCTGGTCCCAAGGATCAGAAGTAATTACCCAAGCGAGCTGGGGGTAGAGCAGCAGGAGTATCCAGGGGGCGCCAACACCACAAGCAATGGTTCAGAGGTGAGAGAAGGCAGGGTGTACATTCTAGAAGCTGAAAGAAGTGTTGCGAACTCATGCCCACGTGTAGGCCAGCTGGATAAAGAAGTGAAGCTGCCATGTAGAAGAGAGAATAGGAAATAGCTGGGACTGTAGCGAACTGGAGATTAGGTGCCTTGTCTAAACTGCTTTACAGATGAGGAAACCAAGCAAGGTCACAGCAGTTAAGTACATGCCCAAGTATACACACAGAGTAAGTGGGAGCACCAGGCATTGGACCCAGGCAGTCTGGCACCAGGATGGGCAGGGAAGGAGGGAAGTCTGAAGCAAGGGGAAGGCAGGGTGGGTCTGGACTGGGCAGTGGTGGCTTCCTGACACCTCACCCTCCTCTCCCCCTAGCCGAGCAGCTCACTGTGGTGGGGAAGATCTCCTTTAACCCCAAGGATGTGCTGGGCCGAGGGGCAGGCGGAACTTTCGTTTTCCGGTGAGTGGCAGCCAGGAACCAGGCTAGAGATGTGGCCCTCACAGCTCTTTCAGTACTGTCCCTTGGAAAGCTGTTATCCCAAGGGTCCCCCAGAAGAGTGAGTGCCAGTCCTAAGCTTTCCTTTATCCGCCTTATCTGAACCTCCATTCTCCCACCTTCCAGGGGACAGTTTGAGGGACGGGCAGTGGCTGTCAAGCGACTCCTTCGTGAATGCTTTGGCCTGGTCCGGCGAGAGGTCCAGCTGCTGCAAGAGTCAGACAGGCACCCCAATGTGCTCCGCTACTTCTGCACAGAGCAGGGACCCCAGTTCTACTATATTGCCTTGGAGCTCTGCCCTGCCTCCTTGCAGGAGGTGAGGCTGGAGTGCAGGGAGGTGTGGATAGATGGTCTGGAGGTCCTTGGCTACAAAGTGACTTTTGTCCCTCACTGCTCCTCAGTATGTGGAAAGCCCAGAACTGGATCACTGGGGCCTGGAGCCTGAGACAGCACTGCAGCACCTCATGTCTGGCCTGGCCCACCTGCATTCCTTACACATAGGTACCCACCCACCTCCCATTCCCCACTGCTGCCCTGCCTTCCTTACCTCCTCTCTCAGATGCCTTCCGCTGCCACAGTGCACCGGGACCTGAAGCCAGCCAATGTGCTCATCACGGGGCTTGACAGCCAGGGCCGAGGCAGGGTGGTTCTCTCCGACTTTGGCCTCTGCAAGAAGCTGCCACCTGGCCACTGTAGCTTCAGCCTGCGCTCAGGCGTCCCCGGCACAGAGGGCTGGATAGCACCTGAGCTCCTTCACCTCCTACCCCCAGCCAGCCCTGTGAGTTGTCCTGTTGCCCTGGCCCAGCGCCTTTTATGCCCAGGGCCCATATCACCGCTGTGTGAGCGTGAACCTGTTTCTTCCTCTAGAAAGTGGGATAATTAATCCTTTCTTACTTAGAGCAGTGGCTCTCAACCAGGGACTATTTTACCACCTAAGGGGCACTAGATAACGTCTAGAGATATTTTTGGTAACCACACTTGGAGGTTGGGGGGGGGGCAGTTGTTACCAGCATCTGGTGGATAGAGACCAATGATACTGCTAAAAATACCCCGTGACTATCTCTCTGTAACAAAATATGATCAGGCCCAAAGTGTCAATAGTGCTGAGGTTCAGAAACTCTGAGCTATGATGATTTTAACTCTTCACTGTGCTGCAGAATCACTGGAGAACCTAAAAAAAATCAGCTGCCCAGGCCCCACATTCAGTGATTACAACCTGATTAGCTGGGGTAAGGCCTCAGGGTTTTCAGGTATAGCCAGGGTGGAGAACCACTGAGGTCGATGGTCTGGGAAGCATCCAATGAGCTAATATAGTTGAAGCACAGAGCAGTGTCTAAACCCAGAGACATTTGAGTTTGAGGCCCTAGGAGTACAGATTATTGAGCCATCAATGTGTGTGTAGAAGTTGTACTCATGGGCATGGATGACAATAGCACAAAAGGACAGTCACTAAGCAAAGCCACCCCCACCCCTCAGAGAAAGCTAGAAGTGACAACCTGGAGGCCCAAGGACCACAGGCACTGTTAGGAGCCTGTACAGGTTCTTTTCATTTTTAATTAGTGGCCAATTTTTAACTTTTGGGAAATTGCACTTAAATATCTGGGTTTCTGGATCGTCTTGGGAAATGAAAGCTCTAACACCCCGAGAGAGTGCCTTGAAGGCAACCAGCCAGAGCTCACTCCCAGCTGCTGCCTGTGGACAGAGCCATGCCAGATCACAGAGCCCTTTCCACTGCCTCATTGCCTCACTCCTGGCCAGCTTCACTCAGTGATGTTACCTGCTAGATCTGGAGGAGGAATGACTCTTGGAAACCTGAACTAGAAGCTCAGTAGGGACAAAGATTTTGGATGAAAACCATGGACCCTTTTCAGTGATGCAGGGGAAGGGGATTTAGGGCCAAGGAGATGCCTCCTGTCAGGAAGCACCTCCAAGTTCTACTCTGAACCAAACTGCCCATGGAGAATTCAGCCAGGCAGGCTTCCTGGAGGCAGACTTCCTCCTTATGCTCTTTTCTCTGGCCCCAGACCAGTGCAGTGGACATCTTCTCTGCAGGCTGCGTATTCTATTATGTGCTTTCCGGAGGCAGCCACCCCTTTGGAGAGAGTCTTTATCGCCAAGCAAACATCCTTGCAGGGGCTGCCCGTCTGGCTCACCTGGAGGAAGAGGCCCATGGTGAGGGGACCTAGCGCAACAAAGGGAGGAAGCAGGCCATGAGTCTGGGCAGTCTGAAGCCATCCCCTTTTTCCTGCAGACAAGGTGGTTGCCAGGAGCCTGGTTGAGGCCATGTTGAGCCCACAGCCCCAGGGACGCCCCTCTGCTCACCAGGTGTTGGCCCACCCCTTCTTTTGGAACAGAGCCAAGCAGCTCCAGTTCTTCCAGGTTAGGGGAAATCTTGGGAATGGGCTCAGAAAGTCCTAAGTTTAGATCCCAAGTAACAAGAAGGGGAAGCCAGATTGGCTGGGGGAAAAGGGAGTTGTCTACCTGCACCCACTAGTCTGGCTCCTTATCTAAACCAATATGGACCCCAAACTCCTGAACACTGCCATTTTGGCCCTCCAGTGTACACACCACCACCTTCCCAGGCCCAGCTGCCCCTTTGGGTGAGAACACACCACTGCTTTCACCCCTAGTTGTCACTTGTGCTGTACCTGTGCCCAGAGAGCCCATTCTAATTTGTATGACCTTGAGCAAGGGACTCTACCTGAGCCTGCTTGCTCATCTGTAAAATGGAGAATAGTATTTACCTCATGGGTCAGGGAAGACCTGGTGGGATAACATGGGAGGGAGGGAGGACTCCCAGCCTTGTGACCTCTGGAACTGGTCACAGGCTCAGGAGCTCTATGGGGGGTCCTAGGATGTCAGTGACTGGCTGGAGAAGGAGTCTGAACAGGGACCCCTGGTGATGGCACTGGAGGCAGGAAGCTCCATCGTGGTCCGGGGCAACTGGCACAAGCACATCTCGGCGCCACTGCAGTCAGGTAGAGGCCAGACACTGGGTGGGCCAGGAAGGCCAAGGGAAGTCCAGAGGGGACAGCTTTGCCCATGATTTTCCCGCCCACAGATCTGAGAAGGTTCCGGTCGTATAAGGGGACTTCGGTGAGAGACCTGCTTCGTGCTATGAGGAACAAGGTGTGTTCTAGGGCTCAGGTGGGGTCTAGCTCTTGGCAAGGACTGGTCACTGCTGAGCCAGGGCTGTACTCTAATCCCTCCAGAAGTACCACTACAGGGAGCTCCCGAGTGAGGTCCGGCAGGCCCTAGGCAACGTCCCTGACAGCTTCGTTCAGTACTTCACAGACCGATTCCCACAGCTGCTTCTCCACACACACCATACCATGAGGAGCTGCGCGTCCGAGAGCCTCTTCTTGCCCTACTATCCACTGGCCTCAGGGGCCAGGCAGCCATGCCCAGAGGCAGCTGGGAGCTAAGGCCGGCCAGCCCAGGAGCTAGGCCTGGGGCTGAGGCTGGCCTTAGCATCAGACAATACCTGCAGAGACTTGGCAGCCTTGGGAACATAATGGAGCAAAGACATGCTGAGAGCCCAGATGCCAGGCACCCCTTGGAATACAAGAAAAATAAATTCTCATGTGTTTAATGTATATAAAGGCAAGGAAAAAACAGTCCTGAATCCAACAGCAATATTCTGTACATACGGCAGGGTTGAGAAGGAAGGGAAGGGGCCACAGAACCCACACTTGAACATGTACAAAAATAACTTACACAGCAGCCCCCAACTGCTATGGCTCTCTCCACAGCCACCAGGGTTGGGAGCACACTATAAAAACCAGCACTGTGGGAGCTAACCACAACAAGCCAAGGTGCTGGTAGGGGGGAAAGGGTCACCAGTCCAGAGGGGACAGGCCTACGAGGAGGCCTTGAGGCGATTGGTGGCCGAGCGTGAGCTCAGCAGCTTGTCCACCATGGTTCGGGCATATCGGAGCCGGCTGGCCAGCTCCTTGGAACAGCCATATTCCTCCAGGAGGCTCAGGCGATATGTGCGAAAGTCCCGCTTCTCATTAATGTAAGTCACAGCAGCCATCAGTGGGCACAGGATGAGTTTTGTGTGGTCCTACGAAGGAAGGAAGGGGATGGGCAGACAGAGGATAATTGGTGGATTAAAGATGTAGGTGCTGGTGTAAGGAAGTATAAGAAAGACAGCCCAGCTGGTTGAGGGGCCTCACTCCACTCTGTTCCTGCCACCAAGAATAGGTCCCATACCTCCCACTCCCATCCAACTCTGTGAGCTCAATGATGGGTGCACATCCCCAACCTTCCCTGCCCCGGCTCACCTGGAAGAAGTTGATCTGCACAGAGCCATTACTAAGGTGCAAGATGATGGCACTGCGGGTGCGAAACCAGGTACGTAGGTAGGGCAGCCGGGCCAGCTCATCACCCTCCCGTGGTGTGATATTGGCTCCCGCCTTCAGCAAGTGTTCGCTCATGTAGTTTCGGAAATACTTAAGGAGGGTGATCTAGATGGAGAGTCAGGAGTCCAGAGTTAGAGGCCAACCCCTGGCACACCACCCACTCCCAGCAGCACCAGCCCACACGAGCCAGCCAGCACTCGCCTTCTTTATCAAGGAGTGGGGATGGGAATTCACAGTGAGGTAGGACTCTGTGCCGTCACGCTCTATGTACTGCAGGCTATCACCGTCATTGTAGAGGATAAGGCGTGTTGAGTCATTGAAGAGCACCCCTACACTGTTGTCACACAGTTGATATCCTGGTGGTAGTGGGGGGAGACCTCAGAAAGGGGAGCAGGGAGCAAGGGGACACCGGGAGCTGGCACTGAGAGGTCTGGGATGGAGATAGGAGAGCTGAGAGAGGACTTTACAGCCAAAGAAGGCAAAAGCCTGTAATAAGTCGAGGAATCACGGGCTGTCCCTGGGCCAACCACCCAGTCTGGAAGAAACCTACCAAGGCCATACTTGTCCGAATAGTCCACCCACTTGCTGACCCAGAAGATGGGGATGCAGGCAGGATCCTCAGCCTCCTCTGGGATGGAAACAGACAGAAGACTGGTCAGAACCAGTCTCTTCACCTCAGGTGGTCCACACCAGAAGGCTTGCTGGACGTCCCACCTGGGCTCAGTCAGGCAAGAGGCCTGGGGCCACACAGAACAAAGCAAGGCCTCTGCTGCCAACAAGCTCAGACAAGCAGCAGGACATACATGTAAGCAAGTTATAGTGCAGAGCACCAAGTTCTACTCATTCATTTAACTGATCCATTTAATCAAAGGCCTACTGTGTGCTGGACACTGTCACACGTACAGTGAGCAATGACCAAAACTCAACCTTCATGAAGTTTGCATTCTAGTCACAGGGACAGAGGCTAATCAAAATAAATAGAGCAAAATAAGTTGCTTCCATCATGGGGAGAGTCAATGGCTGAAAGATTATCCAGCTTTCCAGTTATGAGTGATTAAAAAAATTGTAAGAAAAAATACAATTCCACATACATCAAAATGTTAATAAGCACAGTAACAGCAATAATCCCTTCTTTTAAACACAGAAAACCAACATGGAAACTTTGGAATACATCAGGTGAGAGGTGTTATAGATAATATAAAGCAGGTATGGGGATGGCAAGTGCTAGGAGCAGGGACAGGAAATGCTGGTGAGGGGGACCATCAGAGCAGACATTTGAAAAAGGAGAGTCTGAGCCATGCACCTTCATGGTATCTGCAGGAAGAACATTCCAGAAGAGACTGGGCAAGCAAAGCCCTGAGGCTAAGCATGTCCTGCTCTATTTTTTCAATGGTCTAGAAGGCTAACTCAGGAATTCTCTGAATAGAAGAGACATGTGTAAACATGGACCGAGGTAGTACAGAGAGGCGCTGGGAGATGAGGCACTTGTGGAGATAGAACAGATGAGTCAGAAATTGGAAGGAGCCTGAGCCTTGGGCTAACTCATTGGGATTTTAATCTACAGAAATGGGGGAACTAGACGTATTATGGGGTCAGAAGCCTGGACAAGCCACTACACTCTGCTGGCTGAGACCTCCCTGCCCCCCTAGAGATGCCTCAGGCAACCTCCCACCCCAGGCTACTGCAGTGCCCACCTTGCCTCACCAGCCCCCGATCTGAGGGCTTAGAGGCATTGACGCTGTGCAGTTGCTGTAGCAAGTCACCAAGGTGGCAGTCCACTGCCTCACTGGCCTCTCGGACTGCTGGTTCCTCTTTTTCTCGGGGCTGCTCAGGCATGGGGTTCTCTGTGCCTAGGAGAAGATAAGAAATAGTCATTGGCTGGGCGAAAAACTGGCAGGTTGGGAGAGGCACAGGACACCCTGCCACAGCTAGTACTCTCCCCAGAAAAAAATCTTTTAACTGCTATTGCTTTAGGTAGACTGAGTCAGTGCCAGGTTATTATAGTTCATACTCTAAGGACAGGCACATAGTATCCACTGGCACCTCCAGGTCCAGGTCAAACCCTTTAGCACAGCTCCACAGCCACATACACAATTCTGGAAACTCAGAATTAAAAGTACCTTCAACACCCAGGAAAACAGGAGAGTCAGTAAACTGCAGACCAGCAAGATGAATTAAGCAGGCATTAATAAAAATGTAAGCGATTTCTCACCCTGAAATTTGCTTTACATACTTATATATGACCAAAAAAGTCTGAAGAAAAACACGCTAACACTTTAACATGGGTTATATTTGAGTGGTAGAAGCATGATTTTGTCTTTATGCTTATATGTTTAATTCTTTCCCCACTAATATGTGCTCATTCTCCTTGTGTAGTAACAAAGTCTTCTCTAAAATATTTAAAGATCAGAGTTTTCAATTTTAAAAAACTATGCTGTGATAAGGACTTAAATGTAAAGTAACATTTAGAATTTGCTTTTAAAACTCTAGCCAAAAAAGAGATGAGGTGGAATAAATAAAAATATAAGCAAATAACTACTGAAAATGGATGATATACATGAAGGTTCATCATACAGTTCTCTGTACTTTTTTCTTTTTGAAGATTTTATTTACTTATTTATAGAGAGAGGGAAAGGGAAGGAGAAAGAGGGAGAGAAACATCAATATGTGGTTGCATCTCAAGCGCCCCAGTAGGGGACCTGGCCCACAACCCAGGCAGGTGGCCTGACTGGGAATCAGAATGGCGATCCTTTGGTTCACAGGCTGGCACTCAACCCACTGAGCCGCACCAAGCCTTGGCCTGTACTTTTGGGTAAGTTTAAAAATTTCCAGTGGAAGAAGTTCTTAAAAAATGTTTTCTGTCCAAAAATTAAAGCCAAAAGAAAAAAAAAAAGCAATCCTTAAAATAATGCTGTTACCTGATAGCCCAAAGCACAAATATCCGAGTTCAGACTGACATAATCAAATAAATACATGGGAGAGAAGCGACAGCTCTTCCTTACAGAATTCCAATGACTAAATACAGAAGGAGCAAGGAAAGAGAAACATCACTGTCAGAATACCATGGTTAAAATCGCCACTGGCAAGATCCACCATGACTGCTAAAACCAGTGGGCAAAGTCTGAGGAGAAACACAACAGTCTCAAAGTAACTCTGGACAAGGTATGTTTTAATTACAAAGGAAAAAATAATGACTGCAGTGGGGAAGCCAATCAAACACCAACACGACCAAATGATCAAGACCGACATCACTAATAAAAGAAATGTCGATAGTTAACACCAAAAGAAAAAAAAGAAATCCTTAAAATAACAGAAGCAAATGAACTTATATATTAAATTGACATATATTGAATTGATGCTATATCCACAGAGAAAAAAGTATTTCAAGTGATTTTTTTTCACATAACTTATGTTTAGTGAAATTTATTTCAAGGACAGATAGAACTGCAAGAAAATAAAACATCATGTTGAAAAATATATGTATATTAATGTAAGTTTTTTTTTTGGGCCGGGCCCCGCCCCCCTTGTTCGCGGCCCGCACCCCCTGAGTGTCAGCCAGGGCGAAACAAGATTTTTAGCTTAAGAAAAATACAAATATAAAATCAAAGAAGTAAAAATCCTATAACTTTATATTTGAATCACACACTTAATAATTACCCAAAGAAAAGTAGTTACTTCACAGTAGAGAAAAAGATGGCTATAAACACAAGATTATATCAACATTAAATTTCCTGAAGTTGATAACTGTGCCATGTACTGATACTCTGTAAAAGAATCTTTGTTTTGGAGAAGCAGATGTTGAAGTATTAAGTTGTAAAGGACAGGATATATACAACTTACAAATAATTCAAAGAAAGAGAGGAAGGGAGAAAAGGGAATGATGAAGTGAATGTGAACAAAAATGTGAATTGTGGCCCTGGCTGGTGTGGCTCAGTGGATTGAGCACTGGCCTGTAGACTGAAGGGTTGCCAGTTCAATTCCCAGTCAGGGCACATGCCTGGGTTGCAGGCCAGGTCCCCCAGCTGGGGGGGCATGGCAACCAATCACTGTTTCTCTCACTCATGTTTCTCTCCCTCCTTTCCTGCTCTCTGAAAATAAATAAGTAAAATCTTTTTTAAAAAGTGAATTGTGGAGCTGAATGAAGTGGATATAGGAGGTTTCATCTATTCTCACACCTATTCCTAAGTTTGTAATATAACCAATTAAATAAAATGTTGAAAAGACAGGAATTGGAAATA